GCCTCTGTCTGTCTTCTCTGTGGCTGCCTCTGTCTGTCTCCGTGCTTTGCTCTGACGTTACGCCTGTCATCAGCACACCTCCCACAAACATATCAGCTGTGTCAATAGAGGCAATCATCCATTGTTTTCATGTGATGGTGACATGACTACGCACCACAAACGACTCTCTGTTAGGAACATTCACACGCAGCGGTACGAAAAAAAAAGAGTTAGAAGAAGAAACCAGCGCCAACAGCAGCCGCTACCACCTCGGCAACACCAATGAAACACACGCAACCAAACAAGGTTCAGTGTCGTGATGTAACGCAACACAAAGCGCAACTATGGCAGCGCCAGCTCAACACAACACATCAAACATGGGCACGGCAAGCCTATCCCCAACGAGCAGGAAACGCGCAAGCAAGCAAGCAAGCAAGCAAGCAAGCAAGCAAGCAAGCAAGCAAGCAAGCAAGCAAGCAAGCAAGCAAGCAAGGTGGTCTAGAGGAACGACAACACAAAAGACACACGCACACACAATGGTAGAAGCAAAAGCACAGACGTGATGAAAGCGGCAAAGGACGAAAGAAGGGATCAGTTACATCGTTTCAGGTTGATGATCATGGCCACTTGCACGTGACCCGACGGGTGCACAAGGAGAGGTGGCGGTACAATAGCATAGAACAGCCGCAGGCGCAGCCGCAGCGACACAACACCCATGAAGCACCCACGAAGCACCCACGAAGCACAATTGCACCTTGGGCTGTGGTCTCAGTGGAGCATGCTGAGGGCGTGGTCGGGGGACGGCGCGAAGAACGCGTCAAGCGACGTGCTGGCGCCGAGATCCGGCAGCGCGTCCGAGGACATGAGCAGCTCGTCACGCCGGTCAAGCTCGTCAAGGATGCTCATGTCAATGTCGTCGCCGTCGCCGTCAGGGCCCGCGCCAAACAACATGTCAAACTTGCTTTGCGCGGCCGCATCGCCCCCGTGCTCGTGCTCGTGGTGATGGTCGTGGTGGCGGCTGCCGTGATTGCTGCTGCTATTGCCGCCGTTGCCGTTGCCATTGTCGATGCTGTTGCTGCTGCTGTTGGCGCTGGCATGGCTGCTGCTGTTGTTGTTGCCGCCGCCGCGGCTGCTGTTGCTGCTGCTGTTGCTGTTGCCCGCGGTAGCGTTGGTGTTTGCGGCTGGCGCCGGGTTGGCGGTGTCGGGATGGTGCGGTGACAGGAGATCGAGGTCGCCCAGCACATCGTTCGCGTCTGCACCCACGTCGATGATGCGGGGGTTGCCACGCAGCGTGTTGACCGGTGACGGGGTCGTGTTTGGGTCCGCGTGCGGGGACACGTGCGCGTGGCTGTCGTCATCATCACCGCCGCCATTGCCGCCACACGTCTCGTCAATGCGCTGGTGCATGACGTTGAACGACGGGGAGGACGACGCAAACGCAGACACGGACGCCGGCGGCGTTGTCTTGGTGGACTTGCTCGCCCGCACATACGGGTTGTCATCACTCACATGGTGGAACCGGTCGTTGTTGAACGGAAACGCACTGCGTGTCGGCACCTGATGCAGCGAATTGTGTGAGTTGGGGGGGGGGGGGGTTGGGCATGGTGAGAAGGAGATGATGTGCAAACACGGGCATGCAACACTCCACACATCACACGCAAAGTATGCATACACAACGCACACAAAGTATGCATACACAACACACACACATACACATACACAACACAACACAACACAACACAACACACGCAGGGGGGGGGGGGGGCGAGAGGACGTGGCACCGGACCTGTGTGGAGGGCATTGCAGACCACGAGTAGGACGGCGCGCGGTGTGCGCTGGCGTCTGTTGGGGTGGATGCCTCGCAGAAGACATGGCTGTGGCGGCGGTGGTGGCTGGAGGGGCAGTGTGGCGGCCCGATGAACGAGGGTGTCGGGCCAGCGTGAAGCACGGACGACGAGGACGAGGAGTGGCGCTGTGGCGATTGGCGGCATGGTGGTGATGATGGTGATAGAGGGATGTGGTGATGGTGGTGAGGTAGAAGGGGGGGGGGGGAGTAAGATGTGGAATAGGAAGCATTGAAGTGCCAAGGTCGACCTTCAGGTGAGCGCAGCTTGCACTCACACACAAACACAAACACACACAAACACACAAACACACACACACACACACACACACACACACACACACACACACAGAGCACACAACACACAACACACAACACACACCACACGCACACACACCTGGTGTGCCGCGCCGGCGTGAGTCTTCGCCTCATCATCAATATCCATGCTGGACGACGACAAGTGTTGATGATGCTGATGGTGCTGGTGCTGCTGGTGATGATGACGATGATGATGAAGGTGCTGGTGCTGGTGGTGGTCGGGTGCGAGCGCTGGTGCTGTTGCTGTCGGCGGCGGTGATGACGAAGATGCGCCATGCATCTCGCGATGCAAGGCCTCATCAATCATGCGCGCCTGGTCCGTCAGCCGCTGTCGCTCCAGCCGCAGCTGCTCAATGCGCGAGTGCACATCGCTGCTGCCGGCGCCACCGGGAGGCGAGGGCGACGACGGGCGGTGGTGGGAGCGCGGATCTGGCGGCCGTGGTCATTGGCGGTGATCGGTGGTGAGGGGGGAGGGCAGACAGGGGCAAGAGATGCAGGGTGCAAGCAACGATGGGTGACAGGCCCCATCAGCAAACACACAAACAGACAAACACACACACACACACACGCACACACACAATGCACACACACAATATACACACAGCATACATACGCACACACACACAACACACACAACATACACACACCTTCCCAGGTGGTGGCCTTGTTGACGTGGTCGACAAAGTACGGCTTGCCGCTAGGGGTGAGCACCATCTCCCAGCCAGCCGGCAGCCCATCTGCCTGTGCCGGCGACGCGTTGCTCTGCCCGGGCTGCGTTGGGCGGCCAGGGTACGGGCGGTGGGTGCGCGGGTCGAGCCACGTCGTTGTCTTGCGGCGCTCGCTGGTGGTGGGGGATGGAGAGTGTGGTGGGGATGGTGTTGGTTGAGTGAGGGTGAGGAGGGAGCGAGGAAAGGAAAGGAAGGAGGGCATGTGTTGTCGCTGAGAGAGATTGTGTGCTATTTGTGTGTGTGTGCATGGACAAGCAAGTCGACCGAGCACAAGGTCCAACACACACACACACACACACACACACACACACACACACACACACACACACACACACACACACACACACACACACACACACACAACAAAGCATGTGCGAGAACTGACTCGATAAAGTAGATTGCGCCAACAGGGGTCTTGCCGACGGACCACCCGGGCGGGAGATCAGAAAACTCCGCATACAGGTCGCCCGTGCTGTCGTGACGCGTGATGGGGCCGTCCCACGAGCTCAGCGACCAGCTGCTGCTGCTGCTGATGGTAATGATGGTGGCAATAGTGATGATGATTGTGTGAGTAGGAGAATTTGGCGATTGTGGCAAGGGTTTGGAGAAACGCACGAGCGAGCATCACCCAACGCCTCTCGACACACACACACACTCACACACACACACACACACTCTCTTACTGTGATTTGCCGTGGGCGAGGTCGTATGAGCGCTGCCGCTGATGGAACGCAGAGTGCGACTGGCGAGATGATGATGATGATGAGGAGGCAAGGAGCAGCGAAACGTGTCGTCAACTCAGTGGGGTTTAAGTCAATGGAGCAAACACAGACACAGACACACAGACACACAGACAGACACGCACACACACACAGACAGACACGCACGCACACACACACAAACACAAAAGCACAGCAGCGGCGGGCGTACAGTGTGGTGCGTCTTGAGATGGGCAAAAGGGTCCGAGCGGTGCTGTGATCGCGAGCGGCCGTCAATGCGTTTGCCTGATGGGTGGCCATGGTGGTGACAAGGGGCATGGAGCAAAGCGCATGTGATGACGCATCGTGGTGACACACACACACACACACACACACACACACACACGCACGCGAGGGTAGGAAACGAGCACGCATGCATGACACCAAGACATGACAAGACAGCCACGCGGATCGATTCGAAAGACAATCGGGCTGTTAAGACGGTGAGCGGTGCACTCAGCTACTCGATTTCCACAACTCTAGACGAATCCTTGTTCGACCTTATTAGCGGTGTTAGTGACTTTAAGTCACATTTACCTGTGTCATCGCTACGTAAGCCAACATCCATCAGCCTTGGGCTAAAGAGGCATACTGGGTTATGGCTCCAGCAGCACTGCGCTTCGCGTCTAGCTAAGGTTATAACCTCAGGTAGTGTGGGCACCAGATCTGTCGAAACGCCTTCGATAACCAAGAAACACCATCCGCTTGCTCGCCACTTCGTTGGAGTTGTGATCGGCACGCTGTCAAATCTAGTGATTACTACCTGATGCTCCCTAAGAGGTCGTGTCTTAGAGAATTTCTCGACACACACACACACACACACACACACACACACACGCACGCAGGTGGAAACGAGCACGCATGCATGACACCAAGACATGCAAGACATGCAAGACATGCAAGACAGGTAAGACACTACGCCATGCATGCGCACCTTTCTTCATGCGCGGGTCTTGTGTCTTAGCAGCTTTCACGGCTGAAGACGGCAGCACGCGCGCGTGTGTGGTTGGACTGTGCGTCTGGCCAGGCAAGAATGGTGACGTCTGCTGGTGCTGCTGCTGCTGTTGCTGCTGCTGTGGGTGATGGTGCTGGTGATGATGGTGGCTGATATCGGCCGGGCTGGTTGCAGCCGCGTTGCCACCAGCCCTCGACTCGGCGGCATCGCGCTTACGGGAGGGCGTGCCCGCGGTCGGGGAGCGAGGCGTAACTGGGGTGAGCTCGTGCGGTGATGGCGGCAGACTAGAGCTGTCCAGCTGGTGCCGGAGGAAGTTTTTCACATCCATGGCGACGGCGGTGGCGATACAATGCGATGCGATGCGATGCGTGCAAGCACACTACAGCGGCCAAAACGGCGTGCGCTTGCCTGTGGTCTTGCTTGGTTTGCTGGCTTGCTGTCTTGCGTGCTCTGTGCGTGGGGTGGACGTGGGCTGGTATTGGGGGAGCGGGCGATCAGACGATCAGGTGAAGATGGGGAGACGGTGGTGTATTTGCTTGGAGCTGGTTTGGGGGGGGGGGAGGATCAACGGGCAGGCTTCCGGCACGACCTCGGGGTTGCTTCTGTAAAAACCCGCCACATACACAAGAGAGGGAGAGAGAGGGAGAGAGAGAGGGAGGGGGGGGGAGGAGGGGGAGGAGAGAGGAGATGTGGCAACACAACACGCACCACAGACCACACACAGACCGCACACACACGCACACGCGCAGCAAATGGAACACGACAAGCGACAGCGACCACAACGATGACAGCAACAGCAACAACAACAACAACAAAACAAGCGGGAGGGATCGGTGAGCGAGGTGGTCGATATGCAGGGCATGCCATGTCACCCGAGCCCCTCACCGCGCGTCCACGTCACCAACACTTTGTCATGCACCCTCACGCCATTCCCATGAACGGTTACGGCAACCGCACGACGGCAACCACCACACGGAGTAACAAAGACACAGACACAAAGACGAGAGGCAGCGAGAGACATTCAGGACACGCAAACAAAGCAACACGGTGACCAATATGGATGACACGGTTGTCGCACGAACCCCGGGCAACGTCAACAAAGGCGTGCGCGCGCGTGCGGAAAGAAAGAAGGCAAGTTGGAGAGGAACAAACGACAACGACAAGGACGAGAGAAAAGGGTGACAAGCCAAGATGCGTGCCGTGGGAACTCGGTTGGTGGGAATGGAAAAAAAAATGGCACTTACCACTCGAGAAGGACGGCAAACCAATAATGAAGTCGGTGTTGTCGCTGGTGCTGGTGGTGCTGGTGGTTGAATGTCAGCACGTCAATAATGCCGGTGGTAGTAGTGGGTGGTGGTGGAGGTGGTGGCACGAACCTCCCGGTCAGGGAAATGACGAGGGATGTGTGGGCTTGGAAGGGTTGGATGGAAGATTGATTGATGGCAATGATGACAGCAAGGTTTTGGTGTGTTCGTGCGCGTGTTTTGGTTTGATCCACAGCTCCCTGATGGGGATGAGGATGACGACGACACCTGCTTCTCACAACCGCCCGTTTCGGCTGCCGCTGTTGCTGTTGCTGTTGCTGACCACGACGATGACGAGGGTGATGGCCAGGGCTAAACCCAAATAAAGCAAGAGGCGCAAAACGCTCGAGCGGAGGAAGCCCCAACGCAAGGCAGTCTGTATCAAGACGCAACCCAACAAACAACACACGGGCACGCACAGCTGCTCGTCGGCAAACACCACACACGCACTTCTTCTTCTTCTTCTAACCGTTGTGGGTGGGTGTTTGGGGGGCGAGGGGAGGACAAGGGAGGCGGGGGTGAGCGAACGCACAATGAAGGCAGCAGCGAAGGCACGAAACAAGCAAGCAAGCAAGGCTGACAGCACAAGCAAGCAACGCCAGCCAGACAAACAAACAACAACACAAAGCGGTGTGAGGACTTGCCGATGAGGCTGAGGAATAGTGGTTGGTATCATTAGCAGATTTTCTCTGCACGCGCGTGTGTGGCGTTTTCAGCAAGACAACGCAACAAAGGGGAAGAAAAGGCATCAGCAGCAGCGTGTGATCATCATCAGTGCAGCCACGAGGCAACGGGAGGAAGGGAACAGGAGGAGAACAAGCCGAAGCACGAGAAGGAGAAGGAAACCAACCTTCTTGAAGGTTGAGTGGCTGACGCGTGTGAGAAGGGGGAAGGAAGTTCACATCATCACATCACTCATCTGTCTGTGGCTGACGTCATTGTTCCGACTGAGAAGCACAAGGAGCCACACCTGATACCCCATCACCATGCAATCCAGTGCACGTGGTGTGGTGCGGCACCTGCTTGCAGCGCGGGCACGTGCCCCTTGCAGCATCAGCAGCAGCACGACAGCAGCAGCAGCCGCGGCAGTAGCAGCAGCTGCTGCACGAAGAACGCTGGTGACAGCATCAGCGTCGACAACAGCAGCATCGGCAAGGGCCGCCGCCGCCATCGCTGGCAATGGCGTGTGTAGGTCTGCGTGGGCGCAGCTGGCCCTGTCGAGCCGGCGCAGCCTCGCAGCCCAGGCCAAGAAGAAGAAGGATTCCAGCGGCCTGGGCGGCATCATCGCCGCCGCCACCGCGGGTGCCTTTGCCCTCACCACTGCCTTTGGCATCTACACCCTTGGTGTGTGTGTGTGTGTGTGTCTGTCTGTGCGTTTGTGTGTGCGTTTGTGTGTTTGTTTGTTGGCGTGTGTATGTGTGTGTGTGTGTCTGTGTGTGTGTGTGTGTGTGTGTGTGTGCGTGTGTGTGTCTGTCTGACTCCCGTGTCTATCTCTCTGTCTGTCTCTCTGTCTCTCTCTTCTTTGTCTATCTCTCTCCGTCCGTCCGTCCGTCTGTCTGTCTGTCTCTATGCCAATGTGGCAACTCGTGTGTGCGCGCGGTCCGGGCCGTGCTGACATGTGTGCACTGTCTCTTTCTGTTGCAGGTGCACCCGAGCCCGTTCCACCAACGGAGCCTGGTCAGCCAGCACCCCCAGAGCCAGGTGGGTTGCGTGTGCGTCTGTTGTTCACGTGTCACGATGCCTCCCTCCCTGTCCTTGTGCCTCTGGCACTGGCACTGACATGTCCTTGTGCATGTGTGCAGACATGTCGCCTTCCGCTTGGGTGTCGCGCGCCTGGAAGAACGCACACCAGGTGTACCAGGTAAGCAGCGCTGCAAGGTGCAGTGCAGTACAGTACAGTGTAGTGCAGTGCAGCACAGTGTAGTGCAGTGCAGCACAGTGTAGTGTCGTGTAGTGGAGTGGAGTAGAGTGTAATGGAGTGGAGTAGGGTACTCTATTCTGTGCTGTGCCGTGCTGTGATATGATGTGCTGCTCGAAGCTGTGCTGCGTCACAGTTATGTTGGTGTGTGGTGTTGAGCAAGAGAGGCTAGCCACAGCGAGTAGCGTTCACGTGCCCGCCTCGTACACGGAAAACCACATGTGTCCCTCCAACTTTTTCTCCCTCGTAGGACAAGATGGACCCAAACCCCGAGCCGCTCCTGCCAGATATTCTGCCGTACCCGTACCGCGCATCAGACTACACCATTGTCCTTGATCTCGAAGACACCCTCCTCCACACAGAATGGACGGTGAGGGCTGGACACGGTGTATGTGTTGTGTGGATGTGGTGTGTGTGTTTGTGTGGATGTGGTGTGTGTTTGACATGAGGAGACAACGACAGCCGTTCTTCCCCCTTTTGATGCTCATGCGACCATTCATCCTCTATCACCATTCACGCACACACGCACACACACACACACACACATACACACACACACACACACACACACATACGCACACACACACACACACACACACACACACACACACACACACACACACAAAGTGGAGGAGCAGACAAAGGCAGTCAAGCAATAGAAGGATCGAATGCAACAGCCGGGATTGGACGAGTTCCTGATCACGTGTTACCAGCTCGGCTTTGAGGTGGTGGTCTTCTCCGAGAAGGAGGTCATGAATGATGGTTGGTGGTCCGTGTGCGTCATGGATGAAAGGGAGTTTGGTCATTGGCGGAGCAGCACACTGCTTTGCACGGTGCAAGCGCATACACACACACACACATGCTTACTTTGAGCAAGTAGAGGGCGACGATGCAGACGAAGCCGAGGAGCAAATCCGGCACGCTGTTATGTGGTAACATGAGGTAAGTTGGGGTGCACGCAGTCACAGTGGTCACATGACGTGCGCGCACAGGAGGAAACGGCACGTTTGTCGCGACATACATACATACATACATACATACATGCATACATACATACATACATACATGCATACATACACACACATACATACATACATACACACACACACACGTACATGGTGTGGTTGAGTTTGCGAAACGTGTCATACACGCATTGCGTAAACGGTCGGCGTACACCGCGCAGTCCAAAGAGGTGCTGACATGTGCGTATGTGCGTATGTGTGTGTGTGTGTGTGTGTGTGTGTGTGTGTGTGTGTGTGTGTGTGTGTGTGTGTGTGCACGTGCACAAACAGTGGATGTGAATGAAGATCAAGACAGGGGTACATGCACACGCACAACTCAGGCACTGGAAGCAGTCAGCACGTGCACACGTGCGTGAACATGACGGTGGCCCACCTTGACTTGGCCAAAGCCGATGGTGATGGCAGCGGCGGAGGTGAAGCCAGAGATGACGGGATATGAGATGAAGTCCACGATGAACCCTGAGATCAATGGCCATTGCGTGCACGTGGAAGATTGACGTGTGTGAATGAATTGTGTGTGCGTGTGTGCATGTCTGAACGTGTGCACATGTACACGTGAGGCAGCAATAACTTGAACTGCATCCATGGCAGCGCCACCACCACCACCACCACCACCACTGCAACTGCGTACCGAGGCGCAGCAGCCCCATGCCAAGCTGGATGACGCCAGCCATGAACGTGAGGAAGATGGCGTGGGCCGGGACCGTCTTTCCGTCCACCTGATAAGCACGTGTGCAATGTTTGATCAGGCATGAGAGCAGCGTTGCTGGCTGTGCAGCTTGCCACAGACAACAGCGCGACAACTCGGCGCCACATTTGCACGTGCTCCACGTACGCACACACGCACACACACACGCACACACACACACACACACACAACCATGCACAGACTTGATCGGAGTTTGACGCTGTGAGGAGAGACATGATGGCTGTTGGGCCAAGGGTGATGTCTTTGGCCGTGCCGAGGAACACGTACACGAAGCAGCCCATAAACGCAGAGTACAGGCCATACTGCACCAGCCACAGATGAATGGACAGGCATGATTGTCAGCGTCATCATCACCAATGCGCAATGCCGCCTCGTGCAACACACACACACACACACGCACACACACACACACACACGCACACGCACACACACACACACACGCACACGCACACACGCACGCACGCACACTTACACACACAGATTGTGCTACCTGCTCGTCAAGGCCGGCGATGCTGGCGTATGCCAATGCTTGTGGCACGACCATCAGGCCGACTGTGAGCCCGGCGATGAAGTCATTGCGTGCCTGTTAAACACGTGATGAAGGAGAAAAGAAGAAATGGGGAGGCACATGGAGGAATAGACACGTGGGTAAGGTGACAGCGAGCATCTCAGCGCGCAGAAAGGCTTGCACAACCCACAACCCAAATCGCCACACAGTTGCAACAGCACACACTTGCACACACTTGCACACACTTGCACACACTCGCACACACATGCTAACACACGCTCACACACGCAAACACACACACATCCGAACACACGCACACGCACACACACACGCAAACACACACCTTTGATAGCGTGTATTTGGGAAGCCATCGAACAATCGGCACAAGCGACAAGGCATAGTCACCAGCAAGCCCAGCAAACGTCCGTTCCCGCTCGTACTCCAACGCCATGACAGCATGCAGTGAGATGTATCCGTGCGCACTGCTAATGGTGGCTGCTCGTCGATGTCTCCCAGCACACCAAGCAAACACGTTGCCCGTTCCCACCACCACCACAACACCACAGCCTTCTTCACTTTGTCTTCAGCTGTCTTCCTCCTCCAAGCAAGCAACAAGCGCGCTGTTTTTTCTGCTGATTCAGCACTTTTTCGTGGCTGTCACCCATTCGCCCCTTCGTGCGTCACCCAAAGGAATGGTGACGTATACGTTTTCTACTGAAAATATACACAAATCATCTTCCCGCACTCAACCCGCGCAAGTGTGTGTGCGGCAAGCTGTTGTTTTTCTTTCGTGCTGCTTCTCATGCTGCTGCTGTCACTGATTTGCGACCAAAGTGTCCTGTCTTTTTGAGTGTGGTGTGTTGTGTGTGTGCTTCTGCTTCTTCTTCCTTCTTCGTTCCCCCTCCTTCGTCTCGCCCTGCCACTGCTGCCACCACCGCCTGCTGCTCGTTCCTTTTTCGCTTCCCCCCTCTCTCCTCTTTTTGGTGTGGTGTGGCTTGCTTGGGCCGGGTCACCCCCTCTCTCTTCTCTCTCTTCTCTCTCTTCCCTCCTTTCCCCTTTCTTCCTTTTGTTGTTGTTGTTTTGTCTCATCTCTTCCCCTCTCTGCCCGTGCCCTCCTCACATCCCCCCCCCCCTTTGCTCTTCCATCAACGCCTCGTTTTTGATCACCCCATCTGTCCTTTCCTTCGTGTGTGTTCGCACCGGTCCACTTCCCATTCATCCAAGTTCCATGTGGTGGTGTGGTCCGTGGTGATAAGCCACACGCTCCCCTTCCCCCCTCCTGTTGTTCCCTCCTCTCCCCTCGTTCTTCTTCTTCGGCTCTTTTCTCTCGCACTTTCTCTTTCTCTTCCCCACCGGGACTCAACGCCACATCCTCCTCTCCGCTCACAAGCTTCCCTTCCCCAAGAACCAACAACGATGGCCAACGAAGAGCGAGCATGGATCAAGAAGTTCGAGTGGGCTCTGCGAGTTGAGACACAGCGCCACGCACGTCTCTTTACGCACCTCATGCCAACCCTCATCCGCTTCGACCTCTTTGAACTCCGCCAAGTCGTCGCCAACGACCTTCTCGAGGTGCGCGTCACATGTCTGTGTGCGTGTGTATGAGTGTGTGTGTGTGTGTATGTCTGTCTGTGCTTGATGCATGTGTGTGTGTCTGTGTGTGTCTGCTTGATGTATGTGTGTGTATGTGTGTGTGATGGAGTGCGGCGATGGCGTGCAGTTTTGGATTGCAAAGTGTCTGTCATCCAAGAAGGCGGGGGTCTCTGCGTTATCATCCCGTGCGTTCATGCTCATGCTCTCATTGACCTCTCCTCCTCCTCCTCCTCCTGCTTCTTCTCCTTCTTCTCCTTCTTCTTCTGTGCCTCATCTCCCCTTTCCACCCACCGCTTTCTCAACGTCAGATGGCTTCGTTGAACCGGCACGGGCAACCCCGCAACAACCCAACCGTCAGCCAGCAAGTCTTCTCGCTCGCCCTCGCGGCCTTGGACGCCTACCTTGCCTCCATCGGCCCGCGCGCGCACGTAGACAACGCGCACACTATCGTGCGCATTGCGGCCGCCACCGCCTACTCCGTCGCCCAGAAGTACATTGACGTGGAAACAGTCAATCGCGACGCCATCCAGCGCATCTTTCACACCGAGTGGCGGCTCATCGAGGTGCGAATGCATATGCGTGGTGATTGTGCATGCGTGTGTGTATTGTGTGTGTGTGTGTGTGTGTATCTGTGCGTGTGTGTATTTGTGTGTGTGTGTGCGTGGGTGTGGGTGTATTTGTGTGTTTGTGCGTGCGTGTGTGTATTGTGTGTGTGTGCGTGTGCGTGTGTGTATTGTGTGCATGTGTTTGTGTGTATTTGTGTGTTTGTGTATGTGTGTGCCATGTTCTGTTACGTTTTGTACATGCATGTTGTGTGTACCCCATGTGGTGACGCCTGCGCATGCGGCACAACTCACCGTGCATTGCTCTCACGCATCCCACATCATTCCGTTTCTTGTCACTCTTCTAACCTTCCCTCCTGCCAACCCCCCCCCCCATCTCCATCACCACCACCACTGCCACCACTGCCACCACTGCCACCACTGCCAGGAGAACGAGACCATCCTGTTCCACCGCCTTGGGTTCAACCTCAACATCATGACGCCCTGCCGCTTCATCACTCTCCTCACCGCTGTCCTCGGCAACGGCAACTGGAACCGTGATCGCCTCTGGCACCGCGCAAACGCGCAGTGCAACTTCATCCTCACACGTGCGTTGCACGTAATGGTGATTGTGCGACTGTGGTGATTTGATTCTGTTTGTTTATGGGGTTGTGGGGCGTGAGATGATGAATGTTGGTGTATGGCGTGATTGTACGTGTGTGATTGTGGTTGTATGACCAATTTTGTGTTCGGTCATCCGTGCTCCCAATGCGTGTTTGTCCCTCTTCTCTTCCACCACCACAACACTTTGAGCCTCACACATGCCATCCGTTTCCAAAAACAACTCCCTTATCTCTCTTCTCTCCAATCTGCACCTGGCCCCCCACCGCCTCCCCCCGCTCCTCTCCATACACCAACCAGACCACGATCTGGCGTGCCTCGAGCCAGCCGTCAGCTACGGGCCCTCCCTCCTCGCCGGCGCGTGCGTGTGTGATTCGCTCTCGGCGGAAATCAGGGCCGCCGGTGTCCCCAACGCCCCAGATCTCATTCGTGACGTCTGCGAAGGATTTTCCCGACGCTTCTTCCTCGAGCGCCGCGCGGTGCGTTTGTTTGTGTGTGTGTGTGTGTGTGTGTGTGTGTGTGTGTTTGCTTGTTTGTTTGTTTGTTTGTTTGTTTGTTTGTTTGTTTGTTTGTTACCGCTTCACTTTAGCGTCGTCGTGTGCTCCGGAGCTGTATAAATGTGCACGTTCGTGTTGACAGCCCTTTTCCGCACCTCTCCTTCACCTTGCATTCCATCAAGCCCTCCTCACCACATGCTCCCGTCACTGACCCCATGTCCCTCCCTCCTTCTCCACCAACCCATCAATCAACCCACAACAAACCCTCCACACACAACAACGCATCTGCATCCACAGGAGCTGTTCCACTGTCTGGCGTTTGTGCGGGCAATGCCTGCTGATGGCCGCGCCGACGACTGTCTCCTCTTTATTGGTCACCGGCCCGCAGACCTCGTGCCACCCCCACATCCCGAACACCACGACCAACACCACGATCACCACCACGATCAACACCATCACCAGCAGCACCATGGCGTCGGGGGTGTACTTGCCAGCCCTGACGTGGCCCGCGACGGGAGCGGTGACGATGACGGTGCGGAGGGCGATGATGAAGGCGACGGCGGCTTTGACACAGACACGGACACGGAACTGCTTGACGACCGCGAGGATGAGGCCGCTCATCACAATCACGATACCAGCGACAATGACAAGAACGACAAGAACAGCTCTTACTATCGTCGTCGTCGTCGTGCTGCTGGTGCTGCGGGTGCAGGTGCTGGTGTCACCCAAGCCGCAGCATCTTCATCATCGTCGTCATCATCAGCGTCATCATCAGCGTTCCCTCCGTCCACCGCTCGAGCGCGCACGACCGTCTCTGCGCCGCCATCAACAGCGCCATGGCGCACACGGCCCGCCACCACAACGACTGCCATCACAAGCACTGTTTCATCAGCAATACCAACAACAGCATCAGCATCAGCAACAGCAACAACATCATCAACAACAGCAACAGCAGCAACCACCTCCAGCACCACGTCTGTGGTCAACAACACCAGCAGCAGCCACCACGGTGTGCCTGCTCGCACCCCTGGCGACGGCTACCGCGACATTGGCATGCAGGGGAGCAACTTGCTGACTGCTGGTGTTGCTGCAACAGTGCGCGCACAACAGGAGCGGCGCCGCCAAGAGAGAATCATGAAGCAGCAGAGAGCGCAGGAAGAAGAAGAAGGCGATGATGGTGATGACCACGATGATGATGGTGATGACCACAATGACGACGACGACGATGATGATGATGATGATGATGATGGGCACGATGCACTCGTCAGCGAGAAGGAGAACAGGAAAACCACTCACGGTGGGAAGGATGCCCCTGCTGACGACGGCGATGAAGGAGACGAACAGCAACGGCGTCAAGTACACAAGAGCAAGAGCAAGAGGACCAGCAGCAGAGCCACCGACAGCAACCCCACCATCACCACCAACAGCAGCAGCGGCAGCGGCGGCGGCAGCAGCAACGGCGGCAGTGGTGGTGATCAAGTGACCGGTGCTTCGCGTCGCACCACCCATCCTCGCTCGATCCTCAAAACATCGCCACCCGGGACCCGCCTGCGCATTCTGCACGTGGAGTTCAAGCAGGACCGGGAGAATTTCGAGGGCAAAGCAGCCCCGTTCCAGCCCATGATCCCCGAAGATGGCAGGCGTGGTCGTAGCGGCGGTCATGGTGATGGTGGTGATGGTAGTCATGTCGCATCGCGTGGATCTGCCAAGGACGAGTATGAGGATGGCGATGCCGGCGATGGTGATGGTGATGGGAACAAGGACGAGCAGGGCGACAGCGACGATGATGAGTTCTACACCGTGTTCAGCCAAGATGAGGACGAAGGTGCTGATGACGACGATGACCTCGATTACGACAACTACGACTTCCTGAGCGGCGGTGCGCGACAACACTGCCCCTCAACGCGGTCTGTGCCGGAGGGCGATGGCGACGAGGAAGAACAAGGCACACAGGAACATGGCAATGATGGTGGTGGTGATAGTGATGATAGTGTCAACGGTGTTGATGGTGCTGATGGTGGTGCTGGCAATGATTTCAATGGCAACAGTGGCAACGCCGATGCCAGCACATTCAGGCGTGAGAGAGGAAAGCGCAGCCCCGACGAGGTACTCATTGAATCGCCCACGCGTTACAACTCGCCCAAGAAACGGCCACACGGCGTGGACAGCATGCGTGGTGTCTCTGCTGGCGGTCGGGCGTGTGTTCACGCATCGCCATCCAAGGCCGCTGTGTCAAGAGCACTTGCAGCGGCACCAGCTGCCGACATGCGCAAGACACCGCCAAGGCAGGAGGATGCACAAGAGACGGTTGTCTCCTCGCCGACACCGCCAACGCCGCCAACACCCTCTGATTCGCACAGAAGAATGAACTCGAAGCGAGCAGCCAGGGATGTGCTTGAGGAGAGCAGCGGTGCTGTCACCGCTGGCCGACGCACGCGATCCAAGACGCAAATGCAGACAGCAGAGCAGGTGGATGGCTGGCAGCAACGGCAGCAGCAGCAGCAGCAGCAGCAGCAGCAGCGGGAAGAAGAAGAGGAGCAGGTGCCACGGCCGCGAACCCGCCTCTCAACCCGGAGGCTCACACCCAAGTGATGCCTGGTGATGATTGTCGAGCGGGATAATGGGTGGTGGATTGGTGGTGATGGGAAGGAGCACCCATGGTTGTGTGTGCTCTTTGTATTGTTTTGTTTTTCTGTGCGTTTTTAATTGGTCTTGCGTTCATCTCATAATTGGCCCAGCAGCTACGCTTACCCGATACGTGCTCGCCTTCCCTTCCTTCCAGCCCCCCCCCCCTTTTTCTCAATCCTCGTGACCCACTTTCCCCCAACTCGCATCCCTTTCATCTTCGTCCTTCACCTTTCCGGTTGTGGTCTCGTGCGTTCTTTGTCTCTTATTTTGTTGTTTGATTGACCCTTTGCTTTTGCTTTGCTTGCTGTGTTCGTCTGTTGGTTGGCCATCAGCCACGTGCACCGCACGTGCTGCCCCAATCTCCAAAACGCCGCGCGTGTTGGTGGTGTGACATGGCCTGCTGCTGCTGGTGCGGGTTGTTATTGCGGTGGTCGTGGTGCCAGAGGCGGTGCTGGTTGTTATTGTGGTGGTGTTGGTGTTGGCGGTGGTGGTGGTGATCCTCGGCGTTGTTCGCGTCTGTCGTTTGTGTTGGTTGTTGCAGCCGCTCCCGTCGAGCAGCCACGGCCGAGTGCGTGTCCTTGCTATTCTCTTCGTATGTAGTCGATTAAATCAACCCCAAGATCACACAGAGAGAGAGAGAGAGAGAGTGTGTGTGTGTGTGTGTATGGTTGTGTGTAACTGTGCGTGTGTAACTGTGCGTGTGTATCTGTGTGTGTGTATGTGTGTGTGTGTGTGTGTGTGTGTGTGTGTGTGTGTGTGTGTGTGTGTGTGTGTGTGTGTGTGTTTTGCGTTCGAAGCCACCATCATCATCGCATACGCCTAACTCAGCACAAGAAATCGCACACCCACACCCACATATGAACGTTGTCATGCCATTGGTGCCTTGTTGGTGTTGTTCACTCAGTGGTAGGGTGACGTAAGGAGGGGGAGGAGGAGGAGGAGGAGGAGGAGGGAGTATGCTACGCTAGGTCAACAAGAAAGCGCCAGGGGAAAAAAAAAAAAACCAACACAACCACAATGATCAGAACAAGCACGAGGGACACACAAACACATGACGACGACGAAAACCAGGGGTTGTGATATCAGAGACGGGTCGGAAACGACTAACAAACCGAAGGGCAGCATAGCATGATGCATAACACAGCAACGCAAGCAAGCAAACGAACAGCGATGAGAGTGCATCATCGCGACAACAGCCAGCACACTGCAAGACACGTGTGGCAGCTGGGTGTGCTGCGTGCAAGAATCGTTGTTGGGCAACCAAGAGACAGCGTGCTGGGAAGCAGTAAACCCCGCTGTCTCCCCAGGCGTGGCAGCCAGTACTGCTGGCTCTGCCTGGTGCAAAACCTCCGACGTGCTGTTGCTGCTGCTGTTCAGCAATCCAGTTGCGAACAGCAATGATGTGGGCGCTGCTTGGAGGTGTTGCTTGGGGGGAAGAACGAAGAAGGACAACCCCAATGCCGAAGAAGCACGTGCATGTGCTTGGTGGTAAGAAAGAGAAAAACGAGTGGATGAGAAAGTGAGGCGATGGTCAACAACAGCTACAGACTAAAACCACTGGGAGGAAAAATCAAACGAGAAAACCGAAGTCATGAAAAGGATGCCATGGAGAGTGTGAGCGGGTGTGCAGGTGGGAAGCAGAAAGGAGTTGCCACTCGCACGCGCGTGTGCGTTGTCGAGTGCAAACGCAAGCAACGACATCTGCGCGCCTGCACAACACACGGGCGCAAATTGCACGCGCAGTGCGACCATGCGGAGACGTAGGAGGACGAAGGTAGATGAGCAGGAAAGCAAGGTCGTGGAACCTCAAGGCGAACGAGAACAAGCGGCGCGCTCTGGCGATTCGATAACAGCAACAAGAGCGGCACGAACAGAAACACAGTGCAGTGTCAGTGTCAGAGAGAGAGAGAGAGAAACAAAAACACGTAACAAAGAAGGCGAACTAGACGCAAGGTTCATGGTGGCCACAAACAATGGCGACGACGATGACCACAACGATGACGATGATGATAGCGCTGTGCTGATGGTGATGATGAAGAAGCGAGTGCTGCGATGGGAGCACGTCAAAACGAGTGCTGTCACAAAGAATGAAGCAACAAGGGCCTTGAGGGAGAGTGATTGGGTCGTGCTGGTGGTGGTGACGGTGGCGGGTAACATGACGCAACGCGTGGAGCGTGTTTGGTCTACGCGCTCCTGCCAAAGTTGAGGGAGGAGGAAGGGGAGACGGAGAGGGAGGTGGACAGGGAGTAGATGTTCCCGAGGAAGCTCTGGTCCTCCGCGTTCATTTCCTTAAGGTTGGAGATGGCTGTACGGGTTGTTTTGGTTGGAGGGGGCGGGGGCAAAGCAGTCGTGACGGGGTGGAGGCGGTGAGAAAATGGGTGGGGAGCGTGTGTGTGTGTGTGTGTGTGTGTGTGTGTGTGTGTGTGTGTGTGTGTGTGTGTGTGTGTGTGTGTGTGTGTGTGTGTGTGTGTGTGTGTGTGGAAGAGGGAGAGAGGAAGTGGGATGTTGTGATTGTGTTGTGGTTGTTGTGCAGGGTGTGTTGCATTACACATGACAACAGGTTGCTGTGTAGGGTGTACAACCCCCAAAGCTTGAGCCTGTAGCAGCGGGTCAAGCAAACACACTGTCGCAACTCACCGAGCAGCATCTTGCGCCGGGCGCCAAAGGTGGTCACGCCAATGTTGATGAGATCGTCCTCCGTGAGCGTGAGGAAGATGGCCAGGTCAATCTCCTCCTTGGCAAAGAGCGAATCGTAGCTGTTGAGGCCAAGTTTCGCCAGGAGCTCCGGCAGCGAACGCACGTTCCAGTACTTTTTCATCTGGCGACAGGGACAGAGAGAGAGAGAGAGAGGTAGAGGGGGAGAGGTAGAGGGGGGGAGGGAGAGACAGACAGACAGACAGACAGACAGACAGAGAAACACACAGAGTGTGCATATGTGCGGGGGACGAGGATGGTGAGATGGTGGCCGGAAGGAAAACTGGTGAATGGAATCGGGAGTGTGGGAAGGGGGCATGCCAAAAGCGCCACCAGTGGTTCACACACACGCAGACACACACGCACAACAACGCAGACACACGCACGACACAAACACAGACACACACTAACCTCCTCTGTGACGGGCGCGTGGCTGCGGCTGGGCGACTGCAGGAGGTGCATTGCGCTCTGTGCCGGCGTGCCCGACTGCGATGCACCCGTGTGCGCGCGTGTCATCACAGGCGATGCCATGCTGCCGGGTGTCGACACGCCGCTCCCCGGTGCCGTCGCCAGCAACGACGTGGACAACGATGTTTGAGGCGCCGTTGATGTTGCTGGCGCTGCTGTTGACGCGGTGGTCTGTGATGGCGGGCGCGATGGCGTGAGGGAGGACGTGCTGCTGCTGTTGTTGCTGTTGGCGTTGCTGTTGGTCGCCGTGGGTTGCGAGGAGGGCGTGGCAGTGCCCGTTGTTGTTGGCGGGTTGGGCGAGTGTGCGTTGCTGGATGACGGTGGTGACAGCTGCTTCGATCCAATTGCCGACAGCACGGGCTCCGGCAGCGGCGGCAGCGTCTCCAGCTGTGATCACGCATGAAAATGGTCGAGAGGAACAAAGGAAAGGGGGAAGGGAGTGAGCGATGAGACGAGCCAAAATGGATGAGGATCTGTGAGGACGGGCAAGACTTTGTCCATCGCCAATGCGATGAAGCATCAGCGCACACACACGCATACACGCACACACATACGCGCGCACACACACACGAGCATGCACACGCGCACATACGCGCGCATACATGCACACACGCAGACACACACCTGTTCGTGGCGGGCGAGGCTGCCGCTGGGGAGAATTGCGCTCGAGAAGAGGCGGTGTGATTCGTGCCTCACCGACGACGATGAGGAGGACGGCATGGCCGCGTACCCGCCACCAACGGTGCTGGTGTTGGTGTTGGTGGCAGAAGTGCCATAAGCGGCGGCGTCACTGGGAGCCGACGTGGATGGGTTGTCATCGCCAGTGTGTTGGGCTGCGGCGGCCTCCGCCTGCTGCGCCTCAAGTGCCCGCAGTCGCTTGATCTCGTGCGCAGGCATCGACCGCGAAAACCCGTCGCCAACAAACAGGCTGCACACGGGACATGGGGGGGGGAGGAGAGGTAAAGCAGGGTGAGCAGGCGTGGTTGTGGTTGTGGTTGTGGTTGTGGTTGTGTTGTGGTTGTGGTTGTGGTTGTGGTTGTGGTTGTGGGAGTCAGTGTGAATCAGAATGTGTATGTATAGTGTGGCATCTAAGAAGCAATGCTTCCACGCTTTTGTGTGTGTGCTGGTGTGTGTGTGCTGGTGTGCTGGTGTGTGTGTGTGTGTGTGTGTGTGTGTGTGTGTGTGTGTGTGTGTGTGTGTGTGTGTGTGTGTGTGTGCTAGTGTGCGCGCGCGTTGGTTGTGAATGTGTGTTGAACGTTGTCAACAGTGTGCGGCATTACTTTGTTGGGACGCGGACGGGCCTGGAGTCTGGCTGCATGACGGCGCGCTCCGCAAGGAGGCGGCGGTGCTCGTAGTCAATGTCTGGTGGCGGCGCAGTCAACCACACCAGGCAACCATGAGCTGCTGCAATCGCGGTGACGCGGCCTTAACTATTTGGGGCCGTCAGGTGGATAGCAGCCTCTAACAAAATCAGCGATTGGGCCTTTTGACGACTAAAATTATCCCTCAACAGCCTATCTTTGTCTTAATTGTCCTCGAGAGAGAGAGAGAGAGAGAGAGAGAGAGAGAGAGCGGACACCAAGGGAAGAATAGACAGACAGCAAGTGGCATTCACACACACACACGCCCACACCAGAGGATGGTCTACGCTGCGACATACAAAGAAGCACACAGAAGCACACAAAAGAGCACATAGAAGCACACACAGAAGCACAAAGGCAGGAACCAGGATGGCCCATCTCACCCTTGAGCTTGTCTCTGCTGGCCTTGGATGGGATTGGGGCGTATGGGTTGAGGCCAGCATCATCCGTGACGCCGCCGCTGCCACTGCTGTCTGTTGTTGCTGCTGCTGTTGGTGGTGTCGTGGAGGCGTTGGCCATTGCTGATGCTGCTGTTGAGGACGGGGTGTTGATGGGCGCGCCAACAACGCCCACCTCGTCTGTGGCAGCAGGGGAGGTGATGGTGTTGGACGGCTGGTGCTGCTGCGACGATGGCGGCGGTAGCGGCGGCTGGTTGTGCCAAGGGTTGCTGGGGGGTGGTACATACACGTCAGCGTCCGTCGATGTGGACTGCCACAGCGAGGACGTGTCACCGCCAACGAATGGTGCGCCACCCTGCAGCTGGTGGTGCTGGTGGTGCTGGTGGTGCTGTGGGAAGGGCTGGTGCACGGGGCCAAGGTGCATGCTGGCAGCCTGCGACACGAGCGCGTCCTGTGCGTATGCGTGCGGCTGCTGGTACGGCGCTGTGAATGCGTCTATCATGCCTGCGCCGTTGGCAGACACGTCGTACGGCGCGACGCCGTGTGCGGGCGGCTGCGGCGACGTCGATCCCCGTGAGAAGTTGGGCGGTGCGAGGCCCGGCGCTGCGGGAGATGCAAACGCGTACATGTTCTGCTGGTGCTGGTGCTGGTGCTGGTGCTGGTGCGGCTGTGGCGGCGGCGGCTGGTGGGGATGGCCGTGGAACGGCTGTGGGTGGTGCTGGTGGTGATGCTGGTGCGGGTGGTGTTGGTGGGGCGGCAGCTGCGGTGGTGGAGCAGGGTGGTGGTGGTGCATGTGGCGGTGGTGGTGCTGGTGGTGTGGGAGCACGTGGAAGGATGGGTCTGGCGCATCGTACTCCGGCAGCGCGGGCGACTCGCGGTGCTCAAAGATGTCGCTGAACGTGTCCACTGGTGATGGTGGCGTGGTTTTTTTTTTTTTTTTTGGGGGGGGGTGGGGTGGGAGAGTGAGGATTGTGTGTATTTATGTGTGTGTATGTGTGCGTGCGTGCGTGCGTGCGTGTGTGTGTGTTGTGTGTGTTGTGTTCGAGGGGGATCGCGTGCAAAAATGAGTGTGCGCGTGTGTCAGTATGGGGGGAAACAGTACCTTTGAACGGCGGCGCGAACTTTGGGTCGTAGAGAATGGTGTTGAAGTCTTCAGCGTCGATATCAATGTCGCCATAGCCAAAGTTCTGCACCTGCTGCTCACGCAGAAACCGAGCGGAAGCAGTGGGGAGAGGCGAAACGTCAAGCCGACGAAAACAACGCCATACTCACCACGGCACAGCACCACAACGCAGACGGGCTGACACCACAGCCACGTACGCACACATACAATACCAGGATCCATTCACAGAAGGCACACACACGCACGCACGCACACTCACACACACATACAGGCACACATACACGCACGCACGCACACGCACACACATACACACACAATGAAGACTCACGCGAACGCGGGCCCTGATGAGAAGGGCGCGCCTGGCCTGGTAGAGTTGGGACACGGCGGCCTCAATGCCGCGCAGCGTAATGGTCAGCAGCTGGCCCGTCAGCTTAAACGCGCACCGAATCGTGGGAAATTGATCCACAATGGCGGCGAGCGCCGTCTCCAGCGACGACTGGTGGTCTGGTGATGACAGTAGTGGTGGCGGTGAAGTGGGATGTGTGGTGTTGTGGTGGGGTGAGCGCACGCATGTGTGTGTTTGTTTACCTGTGTGCAAAGTAACACTTGACACAACTAACAAAGTCAAGAAACATATCATTGAAGGCCACCAAGAATAAAACAGCAGGAAACAGCAACAAACAACACAACAGCCAAACAACAGCAACCAAACAACAAACAATGACCACCAACAACGACCACTAGCGACTACACATAATCGAGAAGGGTACGCACTCTGTTCTGCAAACTCCATGAGGGCCTTGGTGCCGTCGGGCGGGATGTCAAAAGTGATGGAGATTGGGAGGCGCGTCTGCATCTGGCAGAGCACGAGCTTCACGTCTTCGCGCCGACCGGTCACTTGCAGCGACGAGCCGTGGCCGGGGTCAAGAAACACAATCCTGCAGCAAACAGGGACAAGGAGGAGACTGCTGTCAGAATTCATCCTACACACACACACACACACACACACACACACACACACACACACACGCAGGTTCGCACGCACAATGAAGCACGCACAAGCGTGCACACACGAAGCTACGCATACACACACAAGAGAGATGCAGTACGCGTGTATCCACCTTCCCCTCCTCCCACACCCCACCTCCACACCCAACCAAATGCAACGCAGCAGCCCTCACTTTGTGTTTGTGCGCTGCATGAGCTGGGCGACGGCGCCGTGGTGGGCGTGGCCAATGAGGGCGGCGTGGTGCACAGAGGAGATGTCAAACTGCAGCGTGTACGACCGCAGCGAGGGGTCGACGTGCCACGTGGACAGCACGTGCCGCGCCGCCTCCTCCAGCACAGACGCGCGCCCGCGCGGGCCCTTAAACATGACAAACACGCGTCCGCTGTGCTGCTTGAAGAAGACGGTGATTGCGTAACGCTCGGCCGTGTTCTGGATGAGCGGCGTCATGCGCAGTTCGTCCCGCGGCACAAACGGCGGTATCTCGAGGCTGTGCGGGAGGGAGTTGTTGTTGGGGTGAGGTGGTGAGGGGGGGGTTGGAGGGTGAGCGAGTGAGTTAGTAAGTCTGAGTGTGTGATTGTGTGTGTGTGTGCATGTATGTGCATGTGTGTTGATGTGTGTGTGTGTGTGTGTGCAAACATGCGTGTGAATGAGTTGGCATGCTCGAAGTGTTGAGATGCCCGTGGCAGTGCAGATGAGAAGGCACACACCAGATGATGACGGGGGTGAGAGCGCGGAGTTGGATGCGCGCCTGTTCAACGCCCTCCGGCAGTCCGGTAATGGTCACCTGTGCAGCGAAATTGGGTGGGGTGGGGGCAGGGGGACACAAGGGTGAGAACAGCGAGGTGTGGTGTGGCATTGATGGACGAATCAAAGGGAAAGTGAAGCGTACCACAGATCAGCGCAAAAACGTGTTGGGGGGGGGGTTCGAAGGCAAACGAGCACACACACACACACATATATATGTATATACACACACACATACACATACACATGCACGCACACACACACACACACACAATCTCTCTCTTATACACACAACACATGCACACGTCGCACTCTCAAGTACACATTTACCTGGTTCTTTGACGGTGTTGCCGATGAT